CCCATTGAGAAGTAATAAATATATGCTCATTGGTTATGACAGACTGGTTCTGTACTTGCTTTCCAGTTCAATAGAAAAGCGATGAAAGTTGTACACTGTAATTCTGGCATGTCAGCTCCCAACCATTCCATTGTCAGTTATGATGTGTTTGTTCTCATTGGCATTCCTGGCCTGAAGGAGCTGCACATGTGGATCTCCATCCCCTTCTGCCTGATGTACCTGGTGGCCGTATCAGGAAATGGTCTTCTCATCTGTGTGGAGGCAGTAGAGCGCAGTCTTCATGAACCCATGTACCTCTTCATCTCCATTCTGGGTTTTGGGATCTGATTCTATTCACATCCACAGTACCCAAAGCCCTGAGCATTTTCTGGTTGGATGATGTCTACATCTCCTTTGGAGGCTGTGTCACTCAGCTCTTCTTTATGCATTTTGCCTTTGCCGCGGAATCAGGTATTCTCTTGGCCATGGCTTTTGACCATTATGTGGCCATCTGCTACCCACTGAGGTATACCACCATTCTTAGCCATGCTGTCACTGGCAAAATAGGGGGTGTTGTGGTGTTCAGAAGTTTTGCAACCATCTTCCCCATTGTCTTCCTTGTGAAGCGTCTGCCCTTCTGCCAGACAAATATCATTGCCCACACCTTCTGTGAACACATGGGGCTGGCAAAGCTGGCCTGTGCAGATATCACCATCAATATTTGGTGTGGAATCTCTGTGCCACTACTCAGTGTTATGGTAGATATGGTGACGATAGTCATCTCCTATGGGCTCATTGTTCGAGCAGTCTTCAGGCTGCCGTCCCACGATGCTCGGATGAAAGCGCTCAGCGCCTGTGGTGCCCACGTCTGTGTCATCCTCATGTTCTACCTTCCAGGGATTTTCACTGTCATTGCTCAGCGCTTTGGCCAAAAAATCCCCAAGCATGTCCACATCCTGCTGGCCAATCTCTATGTTCTTGTCCCCCCCATGATGAACCCAATTATCTATGGAGTAAAAACCGAACAGATTCGTGAACAAGTGGCCCTTGTGTTTTCTCCAAAAGTGAAATGTTGCTGAGGATGACTGGACTTTACCATGGCTTCCCGAAAGAAAGGAGGAGGAGTCCTATCAGAAGATAAGATGACAAATAAGTTACCATTTAGGAGGCACTCTTCTTGCTATGGAAACAAGTCTTTTTTCATGAAACTGGGATACCTCAAAAAGTATAAGTCCTTTATTTTAAAGGGAAATAGGTTCTTGAAAGTCTGTGTGTACATACATATAAACAGTAGTATTTAAATTTCCATAGTTCTTTGATATTTAATGACAACATGATAACTCTATTTCTACCAGACAAAAATAAAATTAATATATAAAATACTTTCTCCTGTACTGTTTAAATTTTAGCTATGTATCCTCTCCAACAGCTATTATTAATATATATTAGAAAGAATAATCCCCCAAATTGGATACAAATAAGAGAAAGGTGGAAGGTCCTCCTTCTAACTTTATTCACTAACAAATGGGAACACCTAGTAATACTAAATAGGGCTATCCATACATATAATACAATAAACATGATTTGGGAGAAAACAAAAGACAAGATAATTAGGTCAAATGTTTTTGAGATATGACCTGCCCTGAATGCTGTGTGTTCTGTGAAATATCTCCTAATTTGCCATTGAGCAACCCTTCTTTTCAGACTGCTTAACACTTATCTCACAGGGTTGTTCATGTGAAAATCCAAGGAGAAAGCAGATGTTAAAGCACTTTAGGAACTATAAAACTCTACAAAAGTATTGTGTCACTGTTACTAGTGTCATTACATTTCCTGGTCTGAGGTTTTACCGTCCTTATGGTCAAAGACTAAAAGCAAAACAATGTAATATCTCAGTCTTTATCTACAGCAAAGTCCTTCCATCTCCCTCATTCTTTCTTTTCCCACCAGGAATTATTTAGGTACAGTGAAGTGTCCTCCTGCAGCTTTTCCCTATCAGCTGTATGCTGCCGCCTTGGATGGAGGATGAAAACAGACACTATGTGCTCTCCATCTGCTCTGTCCCTATACCAGGTGGTGTGAGCTGCTGATGCCTCTTGCACTTCCCATCTTCAGAAACCCCTATGGGAACTTTAAGAAAATTTTACCTTACTCCATAACCGTGGAACATCCTTCTTCTCAACTGCCTGCTCAGATTCCTGGAGTATTGTGGGGTATAGAGAAAATATTTTGTGTTTTTCCTGAGTTGAATATTTCC